CGTGTGTCTGTGTGTCCGTGTGTGTGTCTGTGTGTGTCCTGTGTGTCTGTGTGTGTGTCTGTGTGTGTGTGTCTGTGTGTGTGTGTCTGTGTGTGTGTGTGTGTGTGTGTGTGTGTCTGTGTGTGTCTGTGTGTGTCCGTGTGTGTCCGTGTGTGTGTCTGTGTGTGTCCGTGTGTGTCCGTGTGTGTGTGTGTGTCTGTGTGTGTCCGTGTGTGTCTGTGTGTGTGTGTGTGTCCGTGTGTGTCCGTGTGTGTGTCCTGTGTGTGTGTCTGTGTGTGTCTGTGTGTGTGTTTGTGTGTGTGTCCGTGTGTGTGTGTGTCCGTGTGTGTCCGTGTGTGTCCGTGTGTGTGTGTCTGTGTGTGTCCGTGTGTGTGTCCGTGTGTGTCTGTGTGTGTCCTGTGTGTGTGTGTGTGTGTGTGTGTGTGTGTGTCTGTGTGTGTGTGTCTGTGTGTGTCTGTGTGTGTCTGTGTGTGTCTGTGTGTGTGTGTGTCTGTGTGTGTCTGTGTGTGTCTGTGTGTCTGTGTGTGTGTCTGTGTGTGTGTGTCTGTGTGTGTGTCTGTGTGTGTCTGTGTGTGTCTGTGTGTGTCTGTGTGTGTGTCTGTGTGTGTGTGTGTCTGTGTGTGTCTGTGTGTGTCTGTGCTGTGTGTGTCTGTGTGTGTGTCTGTGTGTCTGTGTGTCTGTCCACCCGTGCTAATTCCTCCACTTATGAACGATTGTCACCAAATTTGGTACGTGGGTCAAGCCCCCGTTGCCGCTGCCACAAAAAAAAAGTTTGGTGACAATCCGAGGTCAATTGAAAGGTCACGCCATTATAAATGATCGGCAATTTCAGCAATTTCTGAACCCTCTGCGGGCTAAAATATTCACCCAATCATCACACGAGTTGGTACACTGGATGTTACAGGTTCAAACCGGTCATGGTCAACAAGGTCAAATATGCGTTTTTGGTCCTAACTCTAAAGGATCAAGCTAGAACAACGGGAGTGGTCTCAAAATCTCAGAAAAAGTAAACACAGACGTTCTCATGAGTGACCAAAATCACACAAATGTCATGTAATATGGGCTGGGCTCCTCATCATCTGCTTCTGTGGTGATGAACTGGACCAGGTTGTTATCTCTGATTGCTCTTGTTTGTATTGTGATTTTAATGTATTTCTTATTCTGTAAAGCACTTTGGATTACTTTGTGTAAGAATTGTGCTATACAAATAAACTTGCCTTGCCCTTTATTATTAGTCGGTCTACATCTCCAAAACTTAAAAAAATACTCTGTTCCAACTTGTGATGTCATGAAGCATCAGTTTCAATGTTTACAGCCACTTTTAACCTTCAGTTTAAAAGAGACTGACAATTCTAAGGCTGAAATGATCCAAATGATTCTACTGAAAGTGTATGGAATAGGGATGCGCATGATTAGTCGAATAATCGATAATTGATCATTAAGAATTTCATCGATTACGTTCATTTTCATCGACAAACCGAATGTAGGTTGCTGTGTGTAGCGTGACCAAACAGGTCTGTACATGTGTCTCTCTGCACTCAGAAGGAGCGAGACACAAACAGTCGGTCAGTCTGCAACGTGCCGCAAATGCGTATTTAACGATGATTTGTACAAGAAATTCCACGCTTTCTGTTCCGGTCGGGACAAGTGTGAGTCCATGTGCACAGTGTACAAAGCAGCACATATGTTTTTGTGTCCAGTGGGAAAAAGTTTTGCCAGGTGAGAGTCGCGCAATGTCGATGACGAGTCTCCACCACCCTCCCCCCGTACGGTGTCCTGGTTTTGACAAACGCAAATCTGGTCACATTAACCTGTATTCACCTGAGTCATGTCCTTTAATCCGACAGAAGTTGAACCGCATCAGCGACACAAGAGCTGTATTTTTTTTCTTTTCTTAGTTTATGCAAATTAGCGATGCGGTTTTAAGTTTTGTTTCTGTGAGATTTGCGCAAAACTGCAATTAAACACATTATAATGTCAAACGGGCTGATGTGGCTCTAGAGTCGTTACGGTTTATATGTCGTAAAGTTGAATTTATTTATGCAGATTAGTAGTGCAGATAGTAATAATAATGATGATCATTTTAATATAAAAACGTTAATGATTAATAGATAATCGATCGTTAATTCTCCTGACAATCGATTTAAAAAATGTAATCGAATGCCCATCCCTAGTACGGAGTTTAAAAACATCACTTCCTGTAAGACCACATGACATCACAAAGTGGAACAGTGTGTTTTCGGTTTGAGAGGAAACAAATTATGCAAAGTAGAGTCCATTTTATTGCTCCAAAGTCCAAACTCTGTTGTGGATGACATGCTTTTACTGACAGAGCCGGATTACCATTTGAAACGATTGGTCCTCAGTTTTATTTATATCCGTTTAATTGCACAGATTGGCATTTTCAAATTCTAAAAAGCGACGTTACTCACTTTGATAGACAGCGCAGAATCATTCAAGTTTCTAAAAGACAATCTATTATCTACGAGAAAAATACACCACGGGGATTTGCAGAAAATCTCCAAACACCAGACCCCAAAATCTCATCTCCAGCAATATAAAAGTACGAGTTTCATTTTTCTGAATTTTGTCACAGTTATGTTAATAAGTGATAATGCAGGAAAAATGGAGCGTAGGGAGTCGAATTGTGTTTCTCATTATGCGAGGGTTAAATCTCAAGTCACAGAGTCCATTATGGGAAATTATGCGGCTATCTCCATAATCAGAGCAGAGACGCTGTAGTGGCAATAATAAAAGCGCTGATTGCAGCTCTGTGAGGATTGGGGACCTAGGAGCGAGAGGTGAAGAAGTGAAAGAGAAAACAAAGTGATAGAGAGATAGAGGAGTGCAGAGGTCAGACTGGAGGGTGCTAGAGTTTGTGATAACATTACACTGAATCGTGATATGGCCTCGTGATTAGAAATTGTTGGGTTGTTTTCTGATGAAAGGTGAAATATGTGACTTTTCTGAAGACCTGCTCATCTCCATGGATATGTTACTACTTTGTATTTACCACTTTTGTTCCACAGTGCGGCATTTATCCTGCAATTATTCGGTTAAAGTGTTTGATTGCCAAAAGAATAATATCGTTCTGTTGTCTTACAGAGAGACAGAACTCGCCGCTCCACAGATCTGACCCTGTAACTTGGCATTTTGGAGTCACCTTCTTCTCTGGACGGAGATTTTTAATGTCGTACCGTTGGAACATTCTAGGCAAAACTATAACATCGCCATGGAAACAAGCCGGTGACAGTCTCTGCACCAGAAATGTTACGTATTGCGACATAAACTCAGCTCTGTGCTCAGACATGGAATGATGCCAGCAACATTTCCACACCCACTAATTTTATTGGTCAGTTTTTGTCAGGTTTGAGTGATTGACAGGTGGATTTAACCAATCACAGCAAAGTACTACCTCCCAAAATATACATATTGCTTTAGTTACCCCTTAAAAGACAACATGGAGTGATAGGGGAACAATGGATGGTTAAACAATTACCGTATATTTCGGACTATAGAGCACACCGGATTATATATCATTAATGTTGAATTTTCTCGTCTGTTTTCATACATAAGGTGCACCGGATTATAAGGAGTATTAAGCGAAACAAAACAGTCAGATAAGTCAAACTGTATTCAGCTCATTCACAATAACTCTGAGCATTGTTCAGTCGTAACACAGAGTTCATTCCTCTTCCACAAATCCATCTAAGGCTACGTTCAGACTGCAGGGCTTAACGCTCAATTCGGATTTTTTTGTGAAATTCGATGTTTTCGCGAGGTCATTCACATTTCCAATTAAATGCGACTTGTATGTGACTCCAGTGTGAACATTAAACGGCCCGAAAGTGTCCCACATGTGCACTGGAAACACGATGACGTCAACCGCAGCGAGTGTGCTCTGTGTTTACGGAACTTGTCCAAACATGGACGCAGCATTGAGCACCTGGAGATTTTAAAGTTCCTCTCGTACCGGAGCCAGAACATGAACAACTTACTTGTTTTAAAGAGGAGATTGAGAAGAAGGACGAGGTTTTTGGCCGTGGCGTTTTGTGGGGCAGCGGCAGCGACGTCCGTTGAAAGGAACGTGTAGATGTGGAGACGTAGCCAAGAGTGGTGAGTGGTGATGTGCTTCACTTCAGTGACACGGAGTTCGTTAACAATTTTTGCCTACTTCAGCGCAGAATAGTGACATTTGTGGCTTGTTGATAATGTGTAGGTCGAATGAATGCACTTTGGCCGTTCAGACTGAAGTCACATGTCAAAAGATCGGATATGTATCGGTTTTAGGACCACATATCGAAGTATCCTGGGTCACATTTGAAAAAATCTGATCTGTGTCGTTCAGACTGTCATTAAAAGATCAGATACAGGTGACATAGGGGCCAAAAAATCGGATTTGGGTCACTTCAGGCTGCAGTCTGAACGCAGCCAAAGTCTGCATCTTCAGTGTCTGAGTTTAACAGTTTGGTCAATTTCAGCATCAAGCCAGGATCCCTCTCGTCATTATCAGAGTCATTCTCTTTGCTGTTACTTCGCTGTTCGGTGATGATTCCGGCCTTTGTGAAAACTCGGACGACACTTGAGACTGATCCCTTAGCCCAGGTATCCATGATCCATTGGCAGATCAGTGGCATAACTCACCCGGCGTTGCCTCCCTGTTTTGGTGAACGTGTATTACCCCACAAGGCTCCTGACTACAGTAGCCGTAATGCTCCAACAATGCTCCAACATCGTCAAGCGGTGCGGTTTCGTAGCTTACCAAAGTCGTACTAAACATTTTGACAGATTTTTGAGCGCCGTGTACCACATAAAATTGGTTCAAGGTCAGTAAGCACAACCAGAATTAATACATAAGGCACACTGTCGATTTTTGAGAAAATTAAAGGATTTAAGTGCACCTTATAGTCCGAAAAATACGGTATAATCTTGACCCAGTTTCTAAACAAACTGTGATATCAATCATTTTGCCCCATTGTTCATTTTCTGGTGATACTTACGCTCTCCACAGGACGGTGGTGGGCATGGGGTTTCCGTTGGCGTTGCAGGTCAGGATCACGTTGGTGCGTCCCACGTACCAGTTGTTGTCGTAGCCGGTTATAGTCACTTGGGGACGAACTGAAGAGGAGGCAGACGGGAGGTTAGGGCAGTGAAGATTTTGTGAGACTTAAAAAAAAACAACTTGTACCAAATGTACCATAAAATTCAATATTTGTTCAACACAGATTAAGGAACAAGAACATGGGTGTTTACAATGACACTCAATGACATACACTGGTCTAGACTATTTCAGTATAAGTCTGAAACGTAAAAATGGTCAACAAATAAAAAACAATGAATGAGAGTCCAAACTTTTCATCAGTACTGTATGCATACATTATTTTTGCTGAGTTGATGCCCTGTTTTAATCACTGTGGTGCTATCTAAACCATTAATCACATTTTTATGTCAAAATAGATAGTGTATTTATTAGAATAATGTTACTAAGTGCTTTAATCAAGTAGTAGTAGTCATCTTGATTCGAGTAATTTTGACTCTCTTTAAAAAATTTGCAGATTTGCAGATAGAACAAGCATTTTTAATCTTATTTCAAGAGCAGTAACATTTTTCTCCTCATTTCAAGTGAGAAAATACTTGTAATTTTATGCTTGTTCCGATGGCAAATCTTATTTTAAGACAGTCAAAATGTACTAAAATCAAGAGAACTACTACTTCATTCAAGCACTTCTTAACTTGTTAAATTAAATCATGTTATTTTTCCAGTGAATTTTAATTCTGGGTGGTTTAGTGGGTCCACCTTCTGGCAAAGCATCTGATCAGCACATATCTGACACTATTTTATTGTCCAATTTTTCAGATAAACCTTGATTCCAGTTGATTGTGTCTGTGCCTCCTCACAAAAGCAGTAGGCAGAGTTCAGAGGAGCTCCCTCCTGCTTCAGCCACTGTTCTAAACACTCATCTAAATTTAATGAGGTTTGTAGACGTGTAGCTCCTGGTTAAAATGTGTGTTAATCACCTGGTTTTGGCCTGGTTTTAGACCTGGTTTTAAAACTGGTTTTAGACCTGTTTAGACCTGGTTTTAGACCTGGTTTTAAACCTGGTTTTAAAACTGGTTTTAGACCTGTTTAGATCTAGTTTAGACCTGGTTTAATCCTGGTTTAATCCTGGTTTTAATCCTGGTTTTAGACCTGGTTTTAGACCTGGTTTTAGACCTGGTTTTAGACCTGGTTTTAGTCCTGGTTTAGTCCTGGTTTAGTCCTGGTTTAGACCTGGTTTAGACCTGGTTTAGTCCTGGTTTAGACCTGGTTTAGTCCTGATTTAGACCTGGTTTTAGACCTGGTTTAGTCCTGGTTTAGTCCTGGTTTAGTCCTGGTTTAGTCCTGATTTAGACCTGGTTTAGACCTGGTTTAGTCCTGGTTTAGTCCTGGTTTAGTCCTGTTTTAGACCTGGTTTAGACCTGGTTTAGTCCTGGTTTAGACCTGGTTTAGTCCTGGTTTAGACCTGGTTTAGACCTGTTTAGTCCTGGTTTAGTCCTGGTTTAGTCCTGATTTAGACCTGGTTTAGACCTGGTTTAGTCCTGGTTTAGTCCTGGTTTAGTCCTGTTTTAGACCTGGTTTTAGACCTGGTTTAGTCCTGGTTTAGTCCTGGTTTAGACCTGGTTTAGTCCTGGTTTAGTCCTGGTTTAGTCCTGATTTAGACCTGGTTTAGACCAGATTTTAGTCCTGTTTTAGACCTGGTTTTAGACCTGGTTTTAGACCTGGTTTTAGACCTGGTTTAGTCCTGGTTTAGTCCTGGTTTAGTCCTGGTTTAGTCCTGGTTTTAGACCTGGTTTTAGACCTGGTTTTAGACCTGGATTTGGACCTGGTTTTGGACCTGGTTTTGGACCTGGTTTTAGACCTGGTTTTAGTCCTGGTTTTAGTCCTGGTTTTAGTCCTGGCTTAGTCCTGGCTTAGTCCTGGCTTAGTCCTGGCTTAGACCTGGTTTAGACCTGGTTTTAGACCAGTTTAGTCCTGATTTAGACCTGATTTTAGACCTGATTTTAGACCTGGTTTAGACCTGGTTTTAGTCCTGGTTTTAGTCCTGGCTTAGTCCTGGCTTAGTCCTGGCTTAGTCCTGGTTTAGTCCTGGTTTAGTCCTGGCTTAGTCCTGGTTTTAGACCTGGTTTTAGACCTGGTTTTAGACCAGTTTAGTCCTGATTTAGACCTGGTTTTAGACCTGGTTTAGTCCCGTTTAGTCCCGGTTTAGACCTGGTTTAGACCTGGTTTAGCCCAAAATGTGAAAACAGGAAAATACCGCAGTGTAATCCATTTATTTCAAGAAAGTAACTGTAATCCAATCACCTCTCATTGAAACAGTAACTGTAACCGAATACAGTTACTCATACTCTGATTACATAACTTCAGTACATGTAATCTGTTACTCCCCAACACTGCGTATGAGTATATAATAATGTTCCTACTGCTAGTATCTTGTGGTATTTCGTATTACTAGTATTTTTTTTTTTTTCTGTTATGATTAAATGTTGTATTCCTGTCATGCACCAGAGAACAGTGACCCTTACACTGAACGGCCAGTTTCATGGGGAAGCTCTCGGGTTTGGTCTGTGTGCGGTGATCCACCACGCAGCTGATGTCCTTTCCGTTGTCGGCGGCGGTGGGGATGAGTTTGTATTCGCTGGTGATGGATACGGTGTTATCGGCCCCGGACTTGGACACGGACGTAGCGTTCCCGTTTGCCGTGGTCACCCAGCTGATCTTGGCCGCCGGACGTCCGTTCAGAGACTCACAGCGAGCCACCACCACGTTCTTGGTCCCGGCTTCTACGGTGACGGTGGAGGCGGCGTTCTGGGGTTTAGCTGGAGGAGAGAGAAAAGAGAGAAGTTAAGAATGGATAGAGAAAAAGGAAATAAGGCAGCCGAGAGGAGAGATACAGTGTGCCATTATTGACAAGTAATTTATGTTGAGATAAATTACGTCTAGAAGCTGTATCTTAAAATGTACACTAGTGAAAATATGTGAACCTTGAATCCCTGTTATTTAAAAGACGCATAATATAACTTTTTTTCATGAAAGGTATGCCACATTCTGGTCTCCACTGAGATTGTCATTAAACTTATCATGTACCGTATTTTTCTGAAGTTTTTTCATAGTTTGGGTGTTTCCTGCGACTTATATAATAACATTTTCACACTGACAGCTGTGAGAGGCTCTAGTCTTGTGTGTCAGTATCTGCTGCTCCTTTTACTCCTGTGCCACTGTCACTTGGCTCTACTGCGCATGTCCCCTGCAGAAAGAGCCTCTGTCCTGTTTGTATCATGTCAGTCGATCGCACCATTACTTCTGTACCATTGAAAATTTAAATGAATTATAAAGACAACTGAGAAAAATGAACGCGAATGCCCCCAAAAAGAAAATCGTATTTTGCAGTTTACAAGGTGCAAGTAGTGAAATCTGCAGCTGAAAACGGTAATCGAGCAGCAGAAAGAAAGTTTGGAGTGAGCGAGAAACTTGTGACAACAGGAGGATGCAACCATGAAACTTTCCTGAAGTCACTGGACGGATGGACAAAGCCTGGACTTCAGTGACACCGAAACCATCCTGTCGGGATTTAGAAAGGCCAGAATAATTCTAACTGGAACTGATGCTGAGTCTGACAACAGCTACTCAGAAGTTACCTACATTTACCTCTGGAGGTTGCGGAGTTGCTCAGAAGTGACACCGAGGATGAAGAATTCAGTGGATTTAGTGATTTGGAGTGAGATGGAGAGTTTGGTAAACTTGTTCTGTTCTGTTGTTTGTTATATTTATCTGAAGAACTGTTCATATGTGACGTTAACAGTCTGTTCTCTGTTCTTCCGTTATTGCCTTTCAAGATGAAATGTCGGTTCCTGGTCTCTTGATTTTGATTGATTGACTCATTTCCCCCCAAAAATACAACTTATAGTCCAGTGCGAGTTATATATGTTTTTTTCTTCTTCATTACACATTTTTTGGCTGGTGCGACTTATACTCCGGGGCAACTTATAGCCCAAAAAATACGGTATTTATTCAATTTCAGCTGCTCATACTGTTAAACAAAATATACAAACGGGATCACCTCTCCAAAGATCTGACCAGTAATTTGGCCTGTTGACATCACTTGCTTGTCTCTGAAGATAATCTATGCTTTTCCATACAATATTTCTGATTGGTCATTGCTTTGTCGAGCATCAAAACAACATTATGAATATCCACATGTATTTCATATCCAGATCGCAGTAATGTGTTGTCTAAAATGTTATATTTGATTGATTGATTTATTTCGGTCACAGGTTTATATTCTGACATTATTCCACCGACATATTCCAGAGTTACATACACATACTAAAAAGGTGTAGACTGAAACTTGGTCTTATTCTGCTTTTACTCTTTATTCCTTTGTCAGAGCGTCATCTTGACACCAGTTCATCTTCATAAATACAGCGAGACAAAAAAAAACAAATCAGAAACAGTACAACAAAGTCCTACAGCACAAACTAAGCATCATATTTCATGTATCTGCCCAGAGTTAAACATTTAAACTTCTTTTTAAAATGGAAGAGACTGGTGCGCAATTTTTGTTTTTCCGTACAGTTGTTCCAGCGCTCCACCCTTTAACAGATGAACACAATTTCTTCTGATTTTCTTTCTGATAAACATGTTCCTCTGAGCTCATACCGGCTATTTCGGATGTTGAACATGTTCTGTAACGATTTTGAGAAGAGATTGCTGTTTACTTTGAACATGATTTGCAAACTGTAAAGGTCGACTAAACCGTAAAATTTTTGAGTTTGAAGGTTTATAAATAACGCACTGGTTGGTTCATTTTAAGCTGATAATGTGATTGCTCTTATTGCCTTTTTTTGCGAGGTACAGATTGGATTTGTATTAGTTTTATACAGTGTTGGGAAGGTGACTTTTAAAATGTATTCCCCTACAGATTACAGATTACACACCTCAAAATGTAGTTTGTAACGTAATCCATTAAATTACTTAAAGTGAGTAACGTAATCTGAATACTTTGGATTACTTGATTTGCTGTAGAGAAGCAAAGACGAGGAAATCGTAACATAAGAAGTTTTGTCTGATAAAAGAAAATAAAAAGCCCAGACTTTACTGAACCAAATTAAAAAATATTATTGATAGAAGAAGAGGAGACACGTCCACGCAGCATGGTTTAGTCCTGGTTTAGTCCTGGTTTAGTCCTGGTTTAGTCCTGGTTTAGTCCTGGTTTAGTCCTGGTTTAGTCCTGGTTTAGACTTGGTTTAGACCTGGTTTAGACCTGGTTTAGACCTGGTTTAGTCCTGGTTTAGTCCTGGTTTAGACCTGGTTTAGACCTGGCTTTAGACCTGGTTTAGACCTGGCTTAGTCCTGGTTTAAGTCCTGGTTTAGGACCTGGTTTTAGGACCTGGTTTAGGACCCTGGTTTAGTCCTGGTTTAGTCCTGGTTTAGTCCTGGTTTAGTCCTGGTTTAGACTGGTTTAGACCTGGTTTAGACCTGGTTTAGACCTGGTTTAGTCCTGGTTTAGTCCTGGTTTAGACCTGGTTTAGACCTGGCTTAGACCTGGCTTAGTCCTGGCTTAGTCCTGGCTTAGTCCTGGTTTAGGACCTGGTTTAGGACCTGGTTTAGGACCTGGTTTAGTCCTGGTTTAGACCTGGTTTAGACCTGGTTTAGTCCTGGTTTAGTCCTGGTTTAGTCCTGGTTTAGTCCTGGTTTAGACCTGGTTTAGACCTGGTTTAGACCTGGCTTTAGTCCTGGCTTAGTCCTGGCTTAGTCCTGGCTTAGTCCTGGTTTAGGACCTGGTTTAGGACCTGGTTTAGTCCTAGATTAGATCTGGTTTAGTCCTGATTTAGTCCTGGTTTAGTCCTGGTTTAGGACCTGGTTTAGGACCTGGTTTAGGACCTGGTTTAGGACCTGGTTTAGTCCTGGTTTAGTCCTGGTTTAGACCAGTTTAGACCTGGTTTTAGTCCTGGTTTAGACCTGGTTTTAGTCCTGGTTTAGACCTGGTTTAGACCTGGTTTAGTCCTGGTTTAGTCCTGGTTTAGTCCTGGTTTAGTCCTGGTTTTAGTCCTGGTTTAGTCCTGGTTTAGACCTGGTTTAGACCTGGTTTAGACCTGGTTTAGTCCTGGTTTAGTCCTGGTTTAGACCTGGTTTTTAGTCCTGGTTTAGACCTGGTTTAGACCTGGTTTAGACCTGGTTTAGTCCTGGTTTAGTCCTGGTTTAGTTTAGACCTGGTTTTAGTCCTGGTTTAGACCTGGTTTTAGTCCTGGTTTAGACCTGGTTTAGACCTGGTTTAGACCTGGTTTAGTCCTGGTTTAGTCCTGGTTTAGACCTGGTTTAGCCCAAAATGTGAAAACAGGAAAATACCTCTGTGTAATCCATTTAGTTCGACGAAGTAACTGTAATCCAGTTACCACTCACTGAAACAGTAACTGTAACTGAACACAGTCACTCAATATTTGTACTCTGATTACATAACTCTGGTACATGTAATCTGTTACTCCCCGACACTGGTCTTATATGTATTTCCAGTGAGTTGTATATAATAATTATCTTTACTCTCTCCTCCTTTTCCGACTCTGCTGTTCAACACAAAAAGCCAGTAAGTCCCTCTTTATAAAAAACTAAAGGGATCACATTGGACTTTTCGCCTAAACCGTTCAATCTCATTTCAATCGTGTTTATAGCCCCACAAAGCTCTGCTGTCACTTCGTCCGTTTGACCACAGATAATTATGGGCTTCCTGATCACACTGTTTCTCTTTCACAGCTGGAGTCCGCTTCCTGCTCCCCTCCGTGATACCCGAGCGAGATCAGAGCCAAAGCAGGACCACAGCAGCAGACAGCGGGCATGACAAGCAGCTCGATCGATACTGCGCACGAGTGGGGGCAAGGGGGCAAGGAGGCGAGGGGGGAGGGGAGGAGGGGAAGAGGCAAGGAGAGAAAAGCAGGAGACAAGGGAGCAAGGAGGCAAGAGGGAGAGGAGGAGAGGAGCGCAGAAGAGCAAAAGAGCAGGAGACCAGGGAGCAAGAAGGCAAGTAGAGTATGACACAAGGGAGTAAGGAGGAAAAGAAGTATAGAGAGTAGGATGCAAGGGAGCAAGGAGGCGAGGAGAAGAGGAGGCGAGGGGGAGAGGAGAGCAAGGAGGCAAAGAGTATGACACAAGGGAGTAAGGAGGAAAAGAAGTATAGAGAGTAGGATGCAAGGGAGCAAGGAGGCGAGGAGAAGAGGAGGCGAGGAGGCGAGGGGGAGAGGAGAGCAAGGAGGCAAAGAGAGTATGACACAAGGGAGTAAGGAGGAAAAGAAGTATAGAGAGTAGGATGCAAGGGAGCAAGGAGGTGAGGAGAAGAGGAGGCGAGGGGGAGAGGAGAGCAAGGAGGCAAAGAGAGTATGACACAAGGGAGCGAGGAGGCAAAGAAGTATAGAGAGTAGGATGCAAGGGAGCAAGGAGGCAAGGAGAAGAGGAGGCGAGGAGGCAAGGGGGAGAGGAGAGCAAGGAGGCAAAGAGAGTATGACACAAGGGAGTAAGGAGGAAAAGAAGTATAGAGAGTAGGATGCAAGGGAGCAAGGAGGTGAGGAGAAGAGGAGGCGAGGGGGAGAGGAGAGCAAGGAGGCAAAGAGAGTATGACACAAGGGAGCGAGGAGGCAAAGAGGTATAGAGAGTAGGGTGCAAGGGAGCAAGGAGGCAAGGGGCCCAGGAGAGCAGGAGACAAGGGAGAAAGAAGGCAAGAAGAGTAGGAGACAAGAGAACAAGGAGGCAAGGAGAGTAAGAGACAAGGGAGCAAGGAGGTACAGAGAGTAGGATGCGAGGGTGCAAGGAGGCAAGCGGCCAAGGAGAGTAGGAGACAAGGGGGCAAAGAGGTATAGAGAGTAAGATGCAAGGGAGCAAGGAAGCAAGGGGCCAAGGAGAGTAGGAGACAAGGGAGCAAGGAGGTATAGAGAGTAGGATGGAAGGGAGCAAGGAGTCAAGGGGCCAAGGAGAGTAGGAGACAAGGGACTAAGGAGGTGAGGAGGCAAGGAGAGTAAGAGACAAGGGAGCAAGGAGGCAAGGAGGTATAGAGAGTAGGATGCAAGGGAGCAAGGAGGCAAGAAGGCAAGGAGAGCAGGAGAAATGGGAGCAAAGGAGGAAGGAGGCAAGGAGAGTAGGAGACAAGGGAGCAATGAGGCAAAGAGAGTAGGATGCAGGGGAGCAAGGAGGCAAGGGGCCAAAGAGAGTAGGAGATAAGGGAGCAAGGAGGCAAGGAGAATAGGAGACAAGGGAGGAAGGAGGCACGGAAGGGGAAGGAGGTAAGGAGAGTAGGACACAAGGGGGAAAAAACACAAGGAGGCATGGAGAGTAGGAGACAGAGTAGGAGACAGGGAGCAAGGAGGTAAGGAGAGTAGGAGAAAAGGGACGAAGAAGGTAAGGGAAGTAGGACACAAGGGAGCAAGGAGATAAGGAGAAGCGAAAATAGACGAGTGAGGAGGCATGGTCGACAGGAGAGAATTGAGAAGGAGGAGAGAAGGCAGCTTGACGACATAAGGCTAGGAATCAAGGAGACAAGGAAGCAAATGAGCGAGGGGAAAAGGAGGCTAGGAGACGGAAGGAAGCAAAGGAGCAAGGAGGCTAGGAAACAAGGGAGCACGGGGTTAGGAGAGAGGAGACGAGAGAGACGTGTGCAAGTGCAAACAAGCAAGGAGCCAAAAGAGAAGAGGAGACAAGAGACCGGCGCATGAAAGCAGGAAAGTGAAGAGGCATGGGGGGGAAAGGAGACGAGAGGGAGAAGGGGAGAGGGAGTCTTGACAGCGTAGGACTAGGAATCAAGGAGTCAAGGAAGCAAGATGGCATGAGGGAGGAAAGGAGAGAGGCATGAAGGTGAACAAGCACTAGTGGTAGAGCGAGAGGGAAGAGAGAGTTAGGAAAAAAAGAGACGGAGCGAAGGCAAACAAACCCTGGTGGTTTTAAGAACGTGAAGGAGGAGGAGAGTGGAGAGGAGAGAAGGAAGACACGAAGGCCTAGGGCTAGGAGTCAAGGAGGCAAGGAAACGAGAAGCCACGCGGGAGAGGAGAGAGAAGGAAGAGAGAGAGGAGAAGGAGGAGTAGGAGAGAAACATTAAGGCAAACTAAAAACGAGCACGAGCGGTGGATGCGAGGAAGCAAAGCGGTAAGGGGGCTGAGGCCGTAGGAGCAGAAATCAAGGAGACGAGGAAGCATGGGGGAGAGGAACGGAGAGGAACGGAGTGAAGGAGGAGAGGAAGGGAGGTAAACAAGCCCTAGTGCGACTGGGAGAAAGCAAGGGTCCGTGGAGGAAGAGGAAAGGAGGAGAGAGGAGAAGAGGGAGATATGAAGGCGTAGGGCTAGGAATCGAGGAGACATGGAAGCAAGGAGGCATAGGGAAAGAGCGAGGAAAGAGCGAGGGATGAGAGGAGAGAGGGATGAAGTCATACGCGCACTGGTGGTCGTAAGTAGGGCTGAACGATTTGGGGAAAATTGCAATTTTTATTCGGAAATGCGGCAAATATGAACAGACAAAATAACGTTCTGAAATCCATGTGATTCTTGTACGTTTGCACAGATTTAACCTACAATTTTGGGCTTTTTATTCAGAATAAAACCAGATATTTTGTTATTTATGTAGGAAATTGCAGCGCTTCGAGAACTGCAGCTTTTGCGATTCGCTTACTTCGCTTACTTTATCCGTTCAAATTGCAGTTTTGATTCGCGATTAATCTTGCAGAATTAGTCGTAAGAAAGAAAGCTACGGGGGCAAACGGGGAAAGGAGAGATAAAAGAGGAGAGGAAGGGGGGGCGAAGGCGTAGAGATAAGAATCGAGGAGAGTGGGAAGGCACGAGAGCGTACAGGAACGAGCAGCACAGCCAAGGTTAGACCAGTGCTTCCATAGCTTTAACAAGAGCAAAATTGATCTGACCATGCCACTTAAAATAGCAATTAAAGCCCGCTGGACATGCTTTTAACCTGCGGGCTTCCTTAGGGGGCGGAAGTGAGCCGGAGGAGAGTGGTTTGCATATAGATGATGGCTTCAAAAATGCTCCACCGGTGGGTAAAAGCATGAACATCCACAACAATAATGGACTTCCTCCCCATCGAGGCTTCGGCGACGAGCAACGTGATTCATTTTTACCACAGCATATCGGGACAAATGCATAAAATAAAGACTTCCTCAAAAACAAACGAGTCTTTCGGGGGGAAAACAGACGCAATTCTGAGTAATTTTAATAACAAAGTTCTTCAAACAAAAGTTCTAATAAACACTAAAGCTGGCTGGGAGTGTAATTTGAGGTTAAATAAAACTCCATTGGCTGCGACTGAACAAAGTGTGCAAACAGCAGAAATGATTTTCGCAGGATTCGTGAAGCAAGTGACGCACTGTTTACAAACGGCTTCAAATCTGATTAACTATTTTATTAGACAGCTTCCCCTCACATATTTATTTGAAAATTAGCACCGTTTGACTTCATAATCAAAGCACACAAGGGTAATAAGAAAGGTTACTAGAATGTCAGGTTGGGACAGACAGGCTGCTGTGATTGGTCATTCAACGTGATGAAGTTTAATTCTTTTTTTAGGATAAGATTTGATTAGGGTTTGGTTAAATTTAGGAACAGAATTAAATTAACTCTTTCCCCTTGGACGCCTCCTTGGAACAACCCATACATATATTAGTATCTACCACAGCCTCTGTTTACATGTGAAAAACCGAGCCATTTGTAATGGTCGTCAAATCACGTCTTTAGTGATACAGCGGAGGTGTCAAAAGACGTCATTAAAGGTTGTATGGAGGATTTTTTTTTGGTTTCAAATTGTCAATGAAAGTTTAAAATACCATTACAGAGACGCAGCAGCCTTGTAATTATGATGACCAAAAAAAAAAAAAAAAGAATGAAAATCCATCAACTGTGGACGTGTTGAGGCCAGATAAACATTAGCCAATACATAACGAGGCTCCCTCTTTATCTATTGGCTGTTAGGTTGTCAGTCAAACTCCCTAGTGTAATTGACTCGCCAGCACGCAGGGATTACGTGGTTTATGCAGTGGTTCGTAGAGGATTTTTCAAACTGTAGCTTCCTCACATTTCGCACAAAGTTTGTTGCGATGGCGGACGAGAATCCACGACCAGTTCGCCGCAAAAGAAAGTCCGTTTTTGAGGTCGTTGAAAGAAGAGAAGGAGAAAAGGAGCAAAGCCGATCTGAGGTGATTCTTGGAGATTCCTTCCAGCGATGGCGTGACTGAAGCAGACGGAGGGTCTAAAAACTGATGCATCGGTCCCTAAATTATTTCTAGACAGGTCACTTCAACAGTAATTCTGAACGAGCTCTGGATGTAAACAAGCCTGATTTCTAGAGTCAGGAGGCGGGAGGTGTTTCTACTGAGGGAGCGGTGAAGGAGGAAGGTGGTGTCACGCATGCACAACATTTGAAAAAGGACTGTCGCTGTATTTCTCTTCCCTTAAAAAAATCCTCTATACAACCTTTAAGGAAACAAGGGAGGGTCGTCAAATGTAGTCTTCATAGGAGAAAGAGTTAAGGTGAGGACAATGGTTAAAAGTCCAGTAAAACGCAAAATAGATTCTTGTGAGCTTTAAGTCATGTTATAATTCTTTTATATTCTTAAAAACAGACCTGGAGTTGTGTTTTGTTTCATTGACACGTGTTTGAGTAACCCTCGTTTATACGTCTGTGACCTTGTGATGTCATGAAGCGTTAACTTTTGAAGTTAACTTAGGGCTGTTCGATTACGGAAAAAATCATTATCACGATTATTTTGGTCAATATTGAAATCACGATGAGTCAAACGATTATTTTTTAGTTACACAATGCATTTATTCTTTCTCTTAAAAAAAACAAACAAACCACACTTTGTTATTGATAATTTAAGCAAAACTGAAAACTTTCAAACTGAAAATATAGAAAATATATAAATATAGGCTACAAATCTGTACCTTAGAGCAGTTTTGTGAAGTATAAAACATAAAATAAATAAAATATACTTTGACCATGAAATAAGGCAAAACATAAATGTATCCAAAATAAATTACATCCAGCTGTTCTACAATAGATATATTTAAGAAATAAAATAAATATACTTATTTATATAAAAAAAAATATCCCAAAATAAACTCTGTTAAGCTTAAATCGTTTCAACTTATATGAGTTCGGAGATTTCGACACACAAATCGAAATCGCGATGAAAATTCGATTAATTGCACAGCCTTAATTTACCTTTAACCTTTAGTTCAGAGAATCTAGGTCACCTCCAGGGCTGAAATCATCCGAATAATTCTAGTGAAGGTGTATGGAGTTTAAAAACACAGTGGAACAAGACATCACAAGGAGGAACAGTGTTTTCCGTTCGAGAGAAGTGTGCAGGATTTGTGTTTTAAACAGTTGTGAAGGAAACAAAACACAACTCCAGGTCTGTTTTTGATGAGGAAAAATCATAACACAGATCAGAAAACAGCATAATATTGGCCCTTTAAAAAAAAAGAAAAAAGAAAAAAAAGTCACCTATTGGCCTTGAACCGAACAAATAAAACATAAAACACAGCAACAGAAGCGAACATGTAACCGTGACAACCAGAAGCACGGACCCGACTATCTAGTATCCAATAAGAAATGGACTTACCGAGCATAACCAGGTACGTGATCCCTTGCTCGTTCCCGCTGGGGTACGTGGCGTATTCGCAGATGTACTTCCCCTCGTCGGTCATTCGGACGTCTTGGATCTGGATGGAGGGGCTGGCCAGGTTCGGGGGGCTGGGGGAGAAGCTGACTCGACCTTTCATGGGGGATTCCGGGTAATTCGGGTCAAAGTTTGGGTGAAAGACGGCGATGTTGATCCTCTCCCCGTCCTTGGGTTCGTAAATCCACGTCACCTGAAAGACGCAATTTGAGAATACGAAATTAAAATCAAAATCAACTCGTGCCGTCTTTCAAAACTGAAGATAAACAATAAAACTCCAATAGTACGTTTTCTGAAAAGTGATCAAACTGTCTGTGCAAAATTATACTTAAGTTTTACCGGACAACCTTGAAAAATTACCCATAAAAAAACTTTAAAAATCTGCTAAAATAACAAAAATCTATCAAAACAAAAACTAAATATCAAAGTAATATTTCTGCCTTTTGTGGTTAAATTATTAATCAATCTCTAAATATTACTTTTAAATGGACTTTATTATGCTCATTTGAGTATTTGAAAATTATTATTTCCCGTCTAGTCCTTGGTTTAGTTGATAGTTTTAGTCCAGCTGCAGGGCTTATTCATCAGAGCAGAGCTAAGAGATATTTGTAAGAATATTTGGACATTATATTGTTCACTTTGAGCTGGTGTACATGTCAACCAAAAGGAGAAAATATCGAGTACTTTGTCTATTAAAAAAAATTCCAAAAGGATGAAGTGCGATCCTTCAAAGTGATACTTCGGTAATATGTGATTAATTTTACGAACAATGTAAAATAATGCAATTCAACCCAACCTTGAGCATTGAGGTTTGAGTGCAAGACAAAAGCAAAGCGCCCAAATGAACGAATCCAAATATGCCGACGCCAAAAGATGTACTTCAACCTTTTTGAACGAAAATATGAACGGTTTTGTTTGTGAAAAACGTGCAGAAGGTAAGCGCTTGGTGCGTTTGTGGACAGGAGAGAGGACTTTTCTCTCAATAGAATGTTTTAAAAGTTTGATTTTTTCAGCTTTTTCAGCTGTTATGCCACTTTGACCAGTCAGATTCAAAGAGTCACCAAGCTCTGCCTTTTTCTGATCGTTTTTAGAGATCCTGTCACCAACTCAGACTTGTTTCTATGGAGATTAGAGGTGGGTGATATTTTGATTACTGTATTTTCCGGGCTATTAGGTGCTCTGGATTATAAGACGCACTGTCATTAAATGGTCTATTTTCGAACTTTTTTCACAAATAAACCGCACTGGACTTTAAACGAAACACAACAGTTGGATGGGTCAGTGGGACTTTGTTTGTGGCGTTCACGGTGACTCTGGGCTTTGTTCAGTTGTGGCGTGTAGGGAGGGTGCTGTCTGGGACCGCTGGATTGTCGGCGTGTTCGCAGTGACTCAGTTGTTCAGTTGTGTCCAGAAGTGGCACATTGCACTCGCTTTTTCGGTTCGTTCCTCCGTTCCGTTCCTCGTCGGCGTGGACTGATGAGTGTGGCTGCGGGTGTGTTTCGTCGCTCGGTCGCTGTCTGCTCCGTGCGTGTTTGCGTGCGCTGCGGGTGGTGCGGCTTTGTAGTTTACTGAAGTCGTGTTGGGACACCCGAGTGGATTCGTGTATGGGGTGCTCTGGATTGCGGGGCGTGCGGTCGTTTTTTGATGGGGTTAGAGGCTTGAGAGCGCGCCTAATACCCCAGAAAACACTGTATTTAAAATATAGCAAGATCATTTTTAAACATGAAATGGATTCTGGCATGTCATATATATCAATATAATGTTTATATTTACTTCTGATTTTGCCATTTGCCTTCTCTGTCCTGTGCTCGCTCCCGCCTCCTTGCTTTTGTTACTCCTCCCCTCATGCGTTGTCTCTTTCAACACTGCGCCGCCTCAACCAGGCCAAGAATGCTGAAAGTTAGTGCCAAAAAAGCTTCTAAAACCATGAACCTTTTCCACCATTTACAGACTCAGCATCAGCAGCACATCCACTGACACAGAGAGAACACACATAATCCACTGAGTTGTGTCCTTTAGTCCGACAGAAAACACATTATAATCTTAAAATAGGCTGATGTGGCTCTATAGTAGTTATGGTTTATATGTTGTAAAGTTTAGTAATGCAAAGTTTATGCAGAAGATTTGAATTAATAATCTGCTGCAGCATAAAACTTGTACAATGCTGTTTAGTAGATGTACTACTAAATGGTGCAGTACAGTGGTGCAGTGGATTGTGGGATAGATACCTCAGAGCTCTTTACCGCTGTTAGGAACATGGATCTGTTAAAATAAAGAACCTCCCGAGCTTCCTCTGCTAAAGGAGCTCATGGTTATTGTTATCGTACGGTGAACAGAGTTAATGTAAAGATGAGCTTGAGTTGAACTGGTGGAATTTGGCAGAATTTGGCATATTTGGGTTTGCGATAGATTGAGGGATTATTTTTCTTGCACAGATATCGAGATACAGCAAAATATATTGAGATATACAGTATTTTTTGCTTCATATCGCCCAGCCCTAATGGAGATGTTATTGCTTTACTTTGAGTGTTCCACAATATGACATTAACAACAGCTCTACTTTACATTTATTCAGTTAGAGATGGTTTTATTGCTCAAAAATGCCTAGAAAAACAGACATTCTGACTGAGCTGTATCTTCTCGGGTCGTCCCGATCTGATCACATGATTGGAAATTGGTGCAGATCACATGACTGCGGACTCGGTCTGGACTCAGACGTCATGTTCCAATCAGGTATCGGATAAATAATATACATGTATAACACACAGTGCACACAGGACACAACAGTTGTTTGTTTTCATGTCACACAGTTACAAGCTGGTGCTTTTGGCAGAGAGGGTGGGAACAGCGGCATGAAGTGTCTATTGAGCAGTGGGAACGATGTTGCGGTGCGCGGTGCTGTTTGTGGTGCGTGCTTTGTGGTGGGTTTGTGGATGTTGTGATGGTGCGGGGGAGAGAGGCTGTGGGGCTTTTGTCATCTCATTTTTATTTGGTAGGATCTTGTATTATTTGGAGATCATAGACAAGCCTAAATGTTTCAAATATAATGCACATGCAAACATATAATATCAAATATACAAACTCTAGATTCTGATTCTGGTCTGGTTCCTGTTTTGTCCAGTCCATTAAGTTTACCATGTTACACATTCCAAGACCAGACTGCGGTAAAAGTAGGGGTGTGCAAAAATATCGGAAATCGATATATCGTATCGTTTAATGTGATCATACAGTATCCATATTTCACCAAGAGTATTTTTAGGTGTGTTTTACTAAATTATTTTGTTACAGTGCTATAGTTTTGTTGCTTGTGGAGTGAAAGGAAGCTCATTTGTGCGACACATTTGACATTTTTACTGTTTTGAGGATTAAAATATTTGTGTTTCATATGAACTTTGCACAAGAAGTAATTTAACAAAGCCTTTTAGTATCACAGCCACGATTACCCTTAATTTTTTTATTGAACCGTATCGAATCGATTTGAAATATATCATATCGAATTGAAAGTGCACTGTATCGAGGTATGTATCGTATCCGCAACTCTAATGATACCCAGCCCTAGGTAAAAGTAAAGATTTTCATGGTTCATGGTGCACGGTTAGAAAAGTTAATAAAACTTTTGGACATTTGTTTTTTCACAAGTTTACAAGTTCAGCCCAAATACTACACATTGAAATCAATGCAATTTGATCCTCCCACACATCCTGGATCGAATTCTTTGCTCTCAATTCATTTCATAATGTTTTATATAAGTATTGGATAGGGACTCGGTTTCGGCAGATACTCAAAATCAAATGACAAAACAGTGTGATCATTGTTCGGTCTCCATGAAGATAGAACGGTTTAATACCACACTGTAAAACATTCCAGACAATCGCTTTGTTCCATGGAAATCTTATCGCGATTACACGGTGCACCTTTAAACATACAAGAGGCAGGACCGTGACCAGCAGTTTACAATTTTCCATGAAGACAGAAAGGTTTAATAGCATAACGTGACACATTTCGGACAAAGCCATAACACGTCCATGGAGAAAATCATTCGACGGACGCTCCTTTAGAAAAGTTCCACAGTGCACCGTTAATTATAGCTATTCGAGTACTTTAAAACTGCGACTTCCGGCTCTATTCTTCGGTTACTGGACAGATTTGGCCTAGCAGCAGGGCCCATTCATCGCCGCGCAGCTAAGTGACACTAGAGAGAGTATTTGAACATTATATTGTGCACTTTGGGCTGGTGTACACGGCATCATAATCACCCACGGAGACGGTATGAATATGGATCAGGCGTTTTAGGACTCCTATCTCTGGGGCTCTTAGTGGAACCAGGAGAGACGCGCGGGGCCCTACTTCATTGAGATGCAGCTAAGAAGTGCGCAGGCCATTACCATATTCAATCCCCTACAGCAAAGTAAAGCAGCTTAGTATTGTTTGTTTGTAGTAATAAAACATTAAGCGAGACGTGATAAAACACATTACTGGCCTTAGGAATATTTCTCTGGGCTGTAATTTGCTCAAGTTCAATTTGGAAGGTAAATAAAGAGCAAAAGTCAATTAAATAAAGTTTTAATGCTTTGTACTACCAATATGTAAAACAATTAAGGCCTTTGGATGTTTTAAATGCAGTTATTGGTGATTATGATACAAATACAATCATTTAAAGATGCTGTAAATTATTTTGAACAGCGGAAGTTTATTTTGCATTCGTAGCATCGTCATCGCAACTTTCAGAGGACAGAGCGTTGTTTTGATGTCGTGATAATGCGGTCGACAATAAGCATGCTAAAAGTGCACTTCTTGGTTTACGGATGATAAAAAAGCTTTATGATTAGATGCAGACAACACACAGCCGTCTCAGTTTGATTCTCAGAGCTGATTTTAAAATATATCTGGACTGTACATGAGGTTATGACCAAAACTGCGATCTCTACTTTGGTCAATCTCGGCGATAAATCATTTGCATTTTAATTGACAGGTCAACAGCCAATCATGTGGCAGTAAGAGGGCATGGTGCTGGCGATTATTTACATTCTTGTTTAGGAAAAAACAGCCTGAGCCACAGCGCGTCTCTTTATGTCATGTTTATATCCTCATGTGTTCATAACTTTTGACTTAAATCCATTCAATTTGAGTAAAAAATTCAGCTCCTCAACTTTTCTCCTCTTTCTTCTCTCTGATGCTTCTTATCAGTATAATTCAAGTTACGGAAAGTGAATGACTTATCTCTTTATGAGCGCAACTTTTGACCTAATTTAGAGCACAGACATCGCACGTGTTTCTTTTGATAGCGGCACATGCATGTGTGTCATTTCATGTTTTCCTAATATATTAATAGCCTGATTCATCAGTCGGTTTCACTTCGTGGAAACCGTCTGACCTCGCAGCATTAAGATTCGTTCGCTCGACGGTAGGTGGGTACTTTTGTCATTTAACCAATTGCTGCTATTTGGTCATGACGTATGTAATGCGCCGCTAACGGAGCTAACTGGTATATTAAGCTTTTCCCAAATCCCGTAGGAAGAAGGACAATAACGTCTTTCCCCTTGATAAAATTCACCAAACATTCTTTTTGTTCCGGCTTTAAATCCTCGATATTGGGAATCGTTGCCAGTACAGAATGTATGGCTCTTCGCTAATTGTCTGGTGCCCGGATTTGCACTTCCGGGCTTTTGCGACTGTCTAGTGTATCCCGATTCTTGACCTAGTCGCTGGAGAAAAATGAAATTGAGTAGAGACACTATGTGGCACCAGCCTGGCTACTTCTTTTCAGTATAATTCAAGTTACAGAAAGTGAACGAATATTTTCTCTTTATGAGCACAACTTCTGACCTGACGTTGAGCACGGACATTGCACGTGTTTCTTTTGACAGCAGTGTGTCATTTCATGTTTTCATAGTATTTATACAGTTTTTAAAGGTCCTGTATTACACTAAATTGACTCTTGTGAGCTTTAAGCCATATTAAAATCTTGTTACCTCATCGCAAACAGACCTGGAGTTGTGTTTTGTTTCATTCACACATGTTAGAGTAACCCGGGATCTTTAGGCTGTCAACAATTCCAAAGCTCAGAATGCACTGTTTGACGTTGTGATGTCATGTAGTGGTAGTTTAAGTTAACAGCTCCTTTTACCCCAATCAGGTTCATTTGGTCTTCTGATAATTTATTTTATTAGGTTCTTTTTTCAGACCAAGAGTTTTGTTTTCATACCTGACAGTTTGGACTGCTCACTGGCGGTCTTCCTCACTTTAAACCAGGACGAGGGGGCTTTTTTACTCTCACACACCTGGGATACTGTCCTGAAGAAGTGGGACTGCAGGTGGCGCTGTCGTCCTGCCTCCACCGGTAGGAAGACGGCGCCAAAACCTGTTTAAATCAGCCGACCGGACACGTCACAGCAACATCACGTGACTCTGAGTAAGACCGCTAGTGAGCAGTCGAAACTGTCAGGTATGAAAACAAACTTTTGGTCTGAAAAAAGAACCTAATAACATAGCTCCTTTTACCTTTTGTTTAGTTGAGATAAAATAATTATCCAAATGATTCTAGTGAAGGTGCATGGCATTTAAAAGCACAGTAGAGCACTGACTACAATTACCACATGACTTCACAAGTTGGAACAGTGTGTGTTTTCTGTTTTAGAGAAGAACTCAGCCTAAATATTCAGGATTTGTGTGTTTAACATGTGTGAATGAAACAAAACACAACTGCAGGTCTGTTTTTCATGAGGAAAATACATTATAACAGATCAGAAAAGGGCATAATACAGACCGTTTAAGAGGTAACTAAAGCTATTTGCCATTTCTGAAAGTTTACTCCTCTCTGTGCCGAGTGAGTGACAGGTGGAGATAACCAGAACTTGATGGAGTCTGACCAGCAGGTGGAGCGTCTGCTTTTGGACACAGAGCTCACAATTTCATTTTTAAAGCCATATTGCCCATCCCTAGACACAACCCTTTTAACTGCTTAAAAAAAAAAAAAAAAAAAAGCAAGCAGAATCCTCGCTCTCTTTATGTAGGGTTGGGATCAGCATGACTTGAAAATCAAAAACAAAAGCACAATACGGCTGGCATCATTATAATTAAATGTTCCCAAATATAATGAAGGACGATAATTCTTTGCAATTACCTCCCAGCAATGTATGTCACTCACACAGTTAAATGGTGCAAGCTTTTCTGTCGGAGGCCGCTCGTCTCCGTGGAGATGTTATTGCCTCGCCTGGGATGCTCCACAGTGCGGCGTTAAGTTTATCTGTCTCCACACTGACAAGCAGGTGACGCCACATATGATAAGTTACAGGTCAGATCTGTGGAAGGGGTGGCCCCACTCACAGTAAGAATGCAAGGTTTTCTAGTTTTCAGTAAAAGACCTGGCATTTTTAAAAGGTGCATTGTGTAACTTTTCTGGTGGAGGGTCCGCCACATACAGACGTGTTCAGAATTGTTGGTACCCCTCTGGTAATGAAAGAAAAATCAACAGTGGTTGCTGAAATTAGCCAGATTCAGCAGCCGGTTTTACTTTGTTTCACTTCATACAAACCGTCTGACTTAGATTTGGCTCGACAATAGGCAGGTACTTTTTATCATTTAATCGCTGCTATTTGGTCATGACGCATGTAATGTGCCGCTAACGGGCTAACTGGTATATTAAGCTTTTCCCAAACCCCGTGGGAAGAAGAACAATAACATCTTTCCCCTTGATGAAATTCACCAAACATTCTCTTTATTCCAGCTTTAAATCCTCGATATCGAGAATCGTTGACTACACAGAATGTATCTCTCTTCGCTGATTGATTTGGTGTTCAAACTTGCTTTTCCGGGGTTTTTGTGAACTATCTAATGTATTCCGATTCCTGACCTAGTTGCTGGAGAGAAACGAAATTGAGCAGAGGCACTAGGTGGCGCCTGGCTACACTGAAATAACTTGAAACTGATAAAAGCAATAATAAACTAGAAAAGAGAGCGCAAACCTCCGCCAAGGACTACAGTCCCCTCATATTAATTGTGTTTTCCATAAATATTTGTCTCGTATCTTTCAATTTGGAATATGAAAGAGGATCCCATTGTCCATCCCCGAGTCAAATTTCATGGTGTTTGGTCAATAATTAACCGAGATATTGAGAAACAAAATTTTTTGGCCCCATTTACCACAATGTTAACTAAAAAATTTCAAAAGTGATCCAGAATCCAGGATTTCTTCCGGATCACCCCCAAAATGAAATCAGTTCTTCCTTTTCACATTTCCAACAAATCCTGAAAATTTCATCAAAATCGTTCCATAACTTTTTGAGTTATGTTGCTAACAGACAAACAAACAAACAAACAAACAAACAGACAAATGCCGGCAAAAACATAACCTCCTTGGCGGAGGTAATAAAAATTTTGTGAAAATTAACCAATGAAAATCAGACACTGTTTTTGAATTGTTGATCAATTAAAATAAATAAATAATGAAACTGGCCTGGACAAAAATGATGGTACCGCTAGAAAAGATTGTAAGTAATGTAAAAAAGCGAGACTGGAATTTGCCACAATGCATACTGATACACCATAAAGCTTCTGGGTAAATGTCTTTTGAACATATGAGACAAAACTGGAGCTCTTTGGCAAGACACATCAGCTCTATGTTCACAGACAGAACAATGAAGCAGACCAAGAAAAGAACATTGTCCCTACTGTGAAGCACAGAGGAGGCTTGGTTTTGTTCTGGGGCTGTTTTGCTGCATCTGGCTCAGGGTGTCCTGAATCTGTGCAAGGTACAACGAAATCTCAAGACTATCAAGATGTTTTAGAATGAAATGTGTTGCCTAGTGTTAGAAAGCTTGGTCTCAGTCGTAGGTCATGGGTCTTCCAACAGGACAATGACCCAAAACGTACAGCTAAAAACACACAAGAATCTCTAAGAACAAAACTTTTGACTGTTCTGGTGTGTTCTTGTGTGAGCCCAGATGTCAATCCTACTAAACATCTGTGAACGGAGCTGAAACATACGTCTGGAGAAGAAACCCTTCAAACCTGACACAACAAGAACAGTTTCCTTACGAGAAATGGGTCAAAATACCTGTTGAGCAGTACAAAAGTCTCATCGACAGTTACAGAAATTGTTCGTTTGCAGAGTTTGCCTCAAAAGGTTGTGCAACAAAATATTAAATCAAGAGTACCATCATTTTTGTCCATTTTTGTTCATTATTTTGTTTTTTTCAAATTATTCAGTTTAACCACAGGTGAAAAGCAATGTTTGATTTCCGTTGGACAATTTCCAGTAAATTTTTATTTATTATTGCTTTTACCAGTTTCAAGTTATTTCAGTGATGATTGTTGATTTTTCTTTCATTGCCAGAGAGGCTCCAACAATTCTGAACACATCTGCATGTTATCGTTTTGTCTGGTACGTTTCACAGTATGTTAATTAACCTTTCTATCTCCATGGAAACCAAACTAGGTCAAAGTTACAGGTCAGATCTGTGGAGAGGCAACCCCGCTCACAGTCAGAATCCGTGTTTTTCTAGAGATTTTTGAGCTATAAAACCAGCTGTAATTGAATAAACGTACGGTTTAGCTGCTGGGTCATACTGCGGAACATTCCAGGCAGAGCAATGACATATCCGTAGCAACAAACAAGTGACAGATCCGCAACCCAAAAGTTACCTAGTGCACATTTAAAGAAGCAATAACCTCTCCATTGAGACGAGCAAGTGGGGGGGGGGCTGGAAAATTACACGGCGTTATAACGACTCATTATACAACAATAGTTTGGTTACCATGGTGAGCTGGACCCCAGTGGCGTCGGTAAATGCACAGCGCAGGTTGACGGTCTGTCCCGGGTAGGAGAGGACCTCTGCCTCCACCTTCACCTTCTGCCCCGAGGCTCCTACAAGAGAAACAGAGAAAGACAGGGTCAGTGCAAACTCTTTCATTCTTCTGGACAAACGGACGATATTTCAGGGCCAACATCTTTATCCGAAATATTGGGGGATAAAAAAAGAACTGGACAGAGGTGGAAGGTACAAAAAGTACAATATTTAAGAACAAATTTAAGGTATCTGTATGTTACTTAAATTTTACGGTGCATACTTTTACGTCAATACATTTGACAGCAGGAATCTTTACAATCTACTCCACTACATTCTTGAACTGGACTGAAAAGTAACAAGTACTTTTCTTGGTTTGAGAATGTTTTTAGCAGCTTTAATTAGAGTTTCCCTCCCAACTTTGAGCAGTAAAATACACAAAACCACAAAAACAGCTACAAAAAATAAGAACTGAATCACTTAAAATGCGCTGAATGAAAAAAAATCACTAAATTTCATCGTTTAATTAATAATTCGAAAAATCTCTGCAAAACACTTTTAGTTTTAAGAACATTTTTAAGCTTAAATCGATTTTTTCATGTGATACTTTTACTTTTACTTGAGTAACTTCTTGCCCCTGTATCTGTACTTTTACTTAACAAAACTGAGTATTTCATCCACGACTGGAACTGGATGTGAATGATGTTACAGAATTTTTAAGATGGTTTGTTCATTATAACAACATTTTCTTTGTATATTTGATTTTATGAGCCTGCCCAGGGACTAAAAGCAGAAATTAGAGCTAGTGCTTCTACTGAGCACAATGTATCTCTCCTGTTAAGGTCAATGTAAGCTGTGCAATGTCCCCGTCTCGTTAAATAAATGAATTAACCTAAAATACCATAGTCACATTTTTATACAGCGCTTTTTCACCTTCAACGCATTCAAAAAGCTTTACATCAACGAAACACTCAACCACTCACACACACATTCATACACCAGAGTACAGAGACACCGGGGACGAGGTGGGTTAAGAGTCTTGCCCAAGGACACAACAACAATCATCAGAGGGAGCTGGAATCGCAGCCCCAACCTGTGGGTCAGCGGATCAGGATTTGATCTTGAGGGTCAGATATTTGTATATTTGCAGCATAAATATCTTACCTTTCAGTTCTCTCCAATTATACTATTGTTGGTCCTCTATTATTTTATTTTTTCGTATAGATAGTTATTGAAATTTTGCTGAAAAATGTTTAGAATCAGTATATAGGTCGGCAGTAGCAATATATTTTTGAAAACCATACAGACTAGTTAATGACATAGGCAAATAGTTGTTTGCGCTAGACAAATATCATGTATAAGGCTGAAAAAAAAACATCCATATAGGACCTTTACTATTCCTCTGTTAAGGACACACAGAGACACACACACACACACACACACAGACACACACACACACACACACACACACACACACACAGGATGCGTATAAAGAGGAGCAGAGTAAGAGTTTAAGAGCCAAGTCTACGGTGATAAATGAGGACGGAGAGGTTGTGTCCGCTACAACACTGGAACACATTAGAGAAGTGAAGTAGGCCAACAGACCGGTCCAGGAGTGTGTGTGTCTCTCTGTGTGTATGCGCGCTTGTGTGTGTGTGTCTCTGTGTGTGTATCTGTATGTGTGTGTGTGTCCATGCGTTTGTCCAAACTAGTATTTATCAAATAGTGGAGACTAAAATCTGTGCACACACTCGAATCATGGGGACCTGACGCCTTTATGGGAACTAGGGGTGTGGAAAAATATCTAAATATCGATATATCGTATCCTTTAATGTGATGATACAGTATCGATATCGTGGGCTGCTATATTAATATATCGGCAACAGTATCTTTTGGTATATTTACTAAATTATTTTGTTACAGTGCTACAGTTTTGTTGCTTGTTTAGAGGAAGGAAATTTGTTTATTTGACATTTTCACTGTTTTGGTGATTAAAATGTTTGCGTTTCATATTCACGTTGCACAAGAAGTGGTTTAATAAAGACGTTTAGTATCACAGCCATGATTTAGCCTTTATTTTTTATTGAACCACACTGAATCGAATTTGAACTATATCTTATTGAATCGAAAGTTCACTGTATCGAGATATGTATCGAGGTGTGTATTGCATCGGCAACTTCTTAATGATACTCAGCCCTAATAGGAACGTAAAACAGATTGGACACAAATCATTCATTATTGGATCAACAACACGATTTAATGTTCAGATACGGGTTAAGATGAGCCTGATTCATTCACGGTTTCCACGAATTGAAATTGTGTGACCTCGCAATTTGTTCGCTCGACGGTAGGTGGGTACTTTTTTTAATTTAACCAATCCCTGCTATTTGGCTGTGACGTATGTAATTCACCGTTAACGGGACTAACTAGTATACTACGCTTTTCCCAAATCCCATAGGAAGAAGGGCAATAACGTCTTTCCCCGTGATAAAATTCACCAAACATTCTTTCGGCTTCAAATCCTCGATCTCAGGAATTGTTGCCAACACAGAATGTATGGCTCTTCGCTGATTATTCTGGTGCCTGGACTCGCATTTCGAGCGCTTGCAAATCATCTAGTGTATTCCGATTCCTGACCTAGTTTCTGGAGAGAAATGAAATTGAGCGGAGGCACTAGGTGGCGCCAGGCTAAGTTAAGACAAGTTAAGGTTCGAATTGAGGTTAAGGTTAGGCGAGTATTGTTGTGGGTGTGATCAGTCTCCAGGAAATGAATGGAAGCCAATGTGATGTCTCCAAAATCCTGGAAACCCTCTGTCTGCGTGTGTCTGTGTGTTCGTGCATGTGTGCGTGCACGAGCGGACAGTCATAGGGGATAAGAGCAGGAGAGTCTGTGAGCACATAACGTCATAAATCACGAGGAGGCCTTTCCTTTCTGCACTCTGTCATTTGCAGAGCAGACACATTCCTGTAGCGCTGCTAAGAGTCTAAATAAATAGAGTGTTTTTGGGTCTGTTGTGTGAGTGGGTGTGTGGAAAACAGTCGGAGCTACACAACCACAAACTGCCCTTAAACTCAAGTGTGCGTAATCCATGGCTATTTACTTGTATGAATAAGCATGCATTAGTGTGCATGGCATGGCACCTGCTTTAAGTACAACCTGTGGACACAAAACTTGGGCAACACTGTTTTTGACACACTTTACAGGGCTCATATTACGCCATTTTTTAAATTTCCTAGTCAAAAGCATACCTAGAGTTCTGCTTTTGGTTAATTCACACACATTTAAACACACAAACCCTGCATATTTAGACAATTTTTTTCTCTAAAACACAAAAAAAACCATGGCATGTGGTAATACAGGAAGTGTTTTTAAACTTGACACAAATTCAACAGAATTCGACGATTGCAGCTCTGGAAATTCCCCTGTTTACTAAAATAAAAGCAAAAGGCAGTGACCTTGAAAACTACCACTACATGACAAGTTGAAACAGAGCATTTTGAGTTTTGGAGATGTAAACAAATACTGCAAGATTGCTTAAACGTGTGAATAAGGCGAAGTTTATATGATGACACAAAAGCCGCATCTTCACTTTTTATTCCGCATTTAGACGAGTGTTTTTGGGAGGAAATCTACACGCATATGGTGACGCAAAAGTGTGTGGAATGTGCTTGGGTATGCATGTACTTAAAGCAACAAGGGCGTCTTTGGACATACGCAAGTTTTCACTCCATGCATTTTCATCAGCTACTCCTTCCACAAAGTTGTCCCACCATCGGCTGGTTCTCCAGGTCTCGTCTATAACCGTCTGGCTCACCTGCGACAAACTGGTGCATCCAGAATTTGACAGAGGTGATTGCAGATCCTTCTCTGTTCACTAATAGTATCTCTGTACATTCTGTACATTTGTTGGGAGCCTCTTGTAAGTTTCTGACTTCTGTAGATGTGAAAACACTTGCAGATAGATTCAGCCAGTGTTAGAAGTTTGTTTTTCGCTCGATGGTAGGTCTTTCCCCTTGATAAAACATTCTCTTTATTCTGGCTTTAAATCCTCGATCTCGGGAATCGTTGACAACACTGAATATATGGTAAATGGCACATTTTCTATAGCGCTTTTCCACCTTCAAGACTCAAAGCACTTTACAACAAGAACCACTCACCCATTCACACACACATTCATACACCAGCTCTGGGCAAGGTGGTTAAGTGTCTTGCCCAAGAACTCATCTGTGGGACTGGACTTGGGTCAGTGGATCTGACCGCTCAACTGTGATGTTTGTAGAGAGCCGCCAACTTCAGATCAGTGGGCGAATTTTACTGCATATGGCTCTTCGCTGACTGGCTGGTGCCCGAACTCGCACTTCCGGGGTTTTTGCAAACCGTCTATTTATTCGTCTATTTAGTGTATTTTCATTCTTGACCTAGTTGCTGGAGAGAAATTAAACTGAGTGGAGGCACTAGGTGGCACCAGCCTGGCTAGGTTTCAGATTTTTAAGCCCCAAAAACACGGGCTCCATCTCAACGAAAGACACTTCCTATAAAACATTTTGTCATTTTTATTCGCAAGTGTTCTCATGTAAACAGGCCCTGAAACAAAACACAACTCCAAGTATGTTTTTGATGAGATAACAGCATTTTAAAAGAGGCTTAAAGCTCATAAGAATCAATTTTGCGCAATATAGGACCTTTAGTAAGTGTAAATAAATAGCAATTACTATCTGAATAACCTTTAACCAGCACAGACATTCCCACTTAGTTAAGGATTAATACGTGGTCTAACTAATACTGTAACTTTTAATGGGTGAAGCTAAAAGGTGCGCTCATCACTTGTTTTCCAAAGAAACGCAATTACCCGCAGAACTAGTTCCACTGGTTTGTGCTGAGCCTGGGCCCTTGTGTAACTTCAAACTAATATAAAGGGGCGAGCTGATGGAACGGAGCGCCCATCGGCCCCTAGATCATAGCAGAGGTGTTCCGTGTTGTGTTCTGACGATTCATAAATGGCTCTCTGCAGACGGTATCAAAGCAGAGGGGCTCCAGCTACACAAGGAGAACGTAAAGAAAAGCGTTTCCGAGAATAAC